ACACACACACACATATATATATATATATATATATATATATATACGCACATCCTTTATATATGAATTAATGTTTTTTTCATGGTTATATTTTTTTAAATATCTATATAGTGTTTATTAATTTTATTTCAGTTTTGTTAAGTTCATGAAGCTAAATTAAAATGAGAAATGTTGTATATAATACCCTGTATATCTTCTGCTCTTTCTAACTCTGCAGGCTAATGGTTTGTGTCCGCTGCATTTGGCTGCTGCTGGCGGTCATACGGAGGTGGTGAAAGTTCTTCTGGATGCTGGAGCATCAGTGATGGAGGAGGACGCCGTGAGTTAGACAGACAAAATATGACGAACATTTTAACATGATAATTTCTAAGACCTTTGACTCTTTCAGGAGGGCATGACGGCCATACATTTGGCTGCCAAGAATGGACACACTCATATTCTGGAGGTGCTGAAAGGCAGCGTTTCGCTGAAGATCCAGAGCTCCAAGGTGCTGCATGTGAACACATGACCTCTGCTTATAAAGGTTAAGCAGAACAAAACTGTGCTGTAACAATTCAGTGAACCGTGTGTGTGTGTGTGTGTGTGTGTGTGTGTGTGTGTACAGGTATATGTGTGTGTGTGTGTGTGTGTGTGTGTGTGTGTAGACGGGTTTAACGGCTCTGCACGTGGCAGCCTGTTTCGGACAAGTGGACTTTGTGAGAGAGATCCTGACTAAAGTTCCAGCTACAATACGCAGTGAATTCCCCACCAACAGCAGCGGCAAAGACGACGTAAAGAGACAACAGCCGTTAGCTGAGGTGACACCACAGTTTCACTCAGAGTTACACTGCAGAACATGGCTATTAGCAAATAAGGCATTTTTAATTAGATTTCTTCATTTGGGGGATTCTTGCTTTGCAATGAAGCTTTACATTTTGTTTGTGTATTTTGTTTTCGCTGGGAATCAAACCCACGAGTGTTGTTATTGTCATTCTAATAAATCTGATTAATTTGTACAGTTTTTTTTGAATAAAGAAAAAGGGAAAAGGTTATTGAACTTACTGAAATTTAAAATCCATTTTTTTTAATCTAAATAAATGCATCTCTACAAAATTCTGAGTAGGCTTTATGCTCCAAATTCTGTATATCATAAAATAATAAAAACAAATATTATTATAAAAGTGTATATTTACTTATGTTTATATTATATATTTCTAATTATTGATATTTTATAAATCAATCCATGATTATATATTTATCATTTCATGTTTAAAATATTAATTTCATATTTTTTTCATTATTTCAAATGTTTGTGTGTTCAGCATACACAAGGTACAGAGTAAAAATAGAAATGTAACATAATTGAGTTGCACCGCTAACTTTCTATAGCGTAAATGTTATAGTTCATTTTAAATAAATTGTATAACTGCTCTAAATTCTGTATAAAGACCCAGTGCAGCAGTAAAATATTATAAAATGTATATAATATTAATTTTATATTATTTATTATATTGTAATAATTATTCATATTATAATTCATCAATTTGTAATTAAATATATTTAAAATATATAACATAATTAAATATATAATACGTGTAATATAAATAGGGTTGCAAAAAGGTGGTAAATTTCTAGTAAATTTTGGAAACATTCCAGTAATTTTGGAAGCTTTCCAGGAATTTTTGGAAAGTTTCTGGAAATTTACCGGAAATATTCCACCCCTTTGCAACCCTAAATATAAATAATATATTCAATATTACATATTTATAATTTTATATTTAAAACATTAAATTCATAATATTATTTCTACAATATTATTTCCTGTGCACAGTAAATGCATTTGTCACCTCCATACAGCATTAAACAGTCTTGTGTAAAGAATATTCAAGATACATTCTCTCAAAATAAGTCTTGATATCTTAAGGTAATTTGCTTTTACAGACACAAAACCCACAATGTACATATAGTGATGATTATGAATCATCAGTGCATGATTTATGATTGTTTGTGTGTGTGTGTTCAGTCAGGTTACACTCCTCTACACCTGGCGGCTCAGTCCGGTCATGAGAATGTGGTTCGCCTGTTGCTGAATTCTCCTGGGGTTCAGGCCGATGCAGAAACAAACATTCAGGCAAGAGATCAGAAGCACTGCTGTGGCGTGAAGCGTGACGTTTGAGCGCGGTACTGACCGTCCGTCATGTGTTTCAGGGCTCCAGTCCTCTGCACCTGGCGGCGCAGAGTGGACACACGGCTGTGGTCGGGCTGCTGATCAGCCGCTCTGGATCTCTGCTGCACCTGACCGACAAACGCGGATGTACCTGTCTGCATCTGGCCGCCGCACACGGACACGTGGCCATGGTGAGAGTCCTGCTGGGACAAGGAGCGGAGATCAACCACACGGACACGGTGAGAAGAAACCTGACATGTAAAGAACAATCACACATGATTATCTCAGATGTTTCTCATAGAGAGCAATGAGGTTAAATGGTGAGTGAATGGATGCTTGTGTTGGTCTTCTGTTTCTCAGATGTCTCTACTGAGGAAAAAGACCCTTGTAATCTCAAATGTGTCTCCTTTAGAGTTTCAGAAGAGACCTCAATAGTGTCTCAAACTATGCTCAGATTTCCTTTGCTGTTTTTGATAACTAAAACTAAGTGTAATTAAAGGGGTCATGACATGGATTTTTTTCATTTGAATATGTTCCTTGAGGTGTACTTATAATGTTAATAGTTTTTTACACAAAAGAAAAAAAAAATAATGTGGATTTTCAACCCTCATTCTGAACCTCTCTCACACCGTGTCTACACCGGACATGAGCGGCGCGACAAAATACTATAGAACTCATTATAATCAGTGATGCTGTCTACACTGGATGTGGCACAATAAAATGGTCATTTCCAGACAAAGCATTATTAAATAATCTACTTATGGTTGATGCAGCTGCAGTCAAAACTAGTACCGCTTCATCTTTCAACAAATGTTTCTTTGTGAACTCTCCATGACACTGTGCCTCGATTACAAAACAACATGCTCCGAAGTCTGAACAATCCTCAGACACGATCCGGGATGCCATTAAAAATAAACTATCCACTTGTTCCTTACGCTGGGATCCTTCTGATATCCGTACAAAGACACGAACGAGCTGTTTAATACAAGCGCGTCAAAGCAAACGTTCTTTCACTGCATTTGTCCTGACGACAGACTCGAGCGCGTGGAATGTGTCAGAAAGTGAACGCACGTCTGTATACTGTATCCAGTGTGGACAAGATGGCAGCAGTGATTGTAATTTCTATTTGTTTTTGACACGGCACTCGCATTCAGAGTGATCAAGTGTCCGCCGTTAGCGGCTGAATGCCAGTGGGTGGGGCCTATGTCGACGTGTCGCTCTAGGGGCGGTGTTTATGCAAACCACTGTGCCCAGGTGACATCACCTTGTCCCTCAGATCCAAAACGAGCCGTTTTCTGAGGGTTATTACATAAATGCTTTTTTATTGATGATGAGGACATTTTAAGTTATGAAACTTGCAGGATGTATTAGGCAACCAAAGACCTCTCCTGTATTAAAAGATCAAGGGAAATTTGCTTTCTCATGTCATAACCCCTTTAAATAAAGCTGAAATAAAATATATATATTAAATGAAAAAAAGCAGCAAAGCAGTTGTATGTTTGGTCTGTGTTTCAGAGTGGCTGGACGGCGCTGCATTACGCGGCTAAAGCCGGCTGTCTGGAGGTGGTGTCGTTCCTGGTGGAGAGCGGAGCATCGGCGTGTGTCGAATGTCATGCCGGATGGACGCCGCTGCAGTACGCGGCTCAGGAAAACCACGAGGAAACCGTCATCTTCCTGCTGAGACGAGAGAAGAACACACTCCGACTGCTGGACGACAAGAAGGTCAGGCTCACTGATACACTGTGTGAAACACTGATACACATCACATTTATTAAAATTTGTTCATGTGAAGGTTGTTTTAAGTCCACCTAAATTAAAAGTCGTAATATTTTTTAATGTTCTGTAACAGTTTAGGCTTAAATGATGGCACAAATTTTACTGTTTTTTTTTTTTTTTCTTCTTAAAGTCAAGTTTTGTAATTTTGTCTCGGAGGTAGTTAGTTTGAGTTAGATTAGTTTGTGGCTTGGAACTCTTTATTGAAGAATTCTGAATGTGTTTTTACAGTATTTTCATTTTTACATCACTGTTTTTCTGTAGATTTAGTTTGATACAGCTGTATTGTTTGTTTAATATGATGGCAGGGTTGATGCTTTCATTTCATTCTTAATGAGCAGATGAGACTCACTGGAAGATTTACAGCTTTAAGTGCCTTGTTCTACTGAAAATAAACCAATTCAAAGTGGATCTTTTAGCATGTTTTGTTTTGCGTTTTGTCTGTAGTTTGTGTTCAATCTGATGGTGTGCGGCCGGATGAATGATAATGTGGCTCTGGAGGAGTTGGTTCTTCATTCTCCGGCTCCTCTGGACACGTGCGTCCGTCTGTCGCGAGCTCTGACTCTGGCTGCGCTCAGAGAGAAGGAGCGCTCTGTCGACCTGCAGGCCGCCGCGCATCACTGTGAGCTCATGGCCTCTGACCTCCTGACCCTCGCTGCTTCAGCCGGGGGCCACGGTGCGTGCCCCATCCTCAGGGCTGTGGACCACCGGGGTGCCAGCGTGCTGGACTGCCTGATCGAGGGCCGGCAGAAGGGTGTGGTGTCCCATCCGGCGGTGCAGACGTACCTGACGGATGTGTGGCATGGAAGCCTGCAGTGGGATTCATGGAAGATCCTGCTGCTGTTCTTCTGTTTGCTGCTCTTCCCTCCGCTGTGGGTGGTGCTCTCACTGCCACTCAGACACAGGTACACTCTTACACCGTAAACTTCTCACCAAGGCTGCATTTATTTGATAAAAAATAGTCAAAACGGTAATATTGGGAATATTATTACAATTGAAAATAACTGTCTTCTATGTGAATGTATAGTAGAATGTAATTTATTGCTGTGATCAAAGCTGAATTTTCAGCATCATTACTCCAGTCTTCAGTGTCACATGATCCTTCAGAAATCATTCTAATATGCTGATTTGCTGCTCAACAAACATTTCTGATTATTATCAATGTTGAAAACAGTTGTGCTGTTTAATACCATGATTTGTTTCAGCAATATTTGTTGAATAGAAAGTTCGGGAACACTTTAGTGACCACTTTAGGGACCAATTCTCACTATTAACTACTTGCTTATTAGCATACCTATTAATAACATATTGGCTGTTTATTAGCACTTATCAAGCACATATTCTGCATGACCATATTACTTTAGTGACCACTTTAGGGACCAATTCTCACTATTAACTACTTGCTTATTAGCATACCTATTAATAACATATTGGCTGTTTTTAGTACTTATAAAGCACATATTCTGCTTGACCATATTCTACATCCCTAATCCTACCAAATACCTAAACTTAACAACTACCTAACTAACTATTAATAAGCAGCAAATTAGGAGTTTATTGAGGCAAAAGTTGTAGTTAATGGTTTGTTAATACTGAGAACTGGACTTTAAAATAAAGTGTGACCGAAAGTTCAAAAGAGCACCATTTAGTTAAAATAGGAAAAAAAAAATTGTAACATTATAAATGTCTTTACTGTCACTTTTGGTAAATTGAATGTCCTTGTTGATTCATACACCAAAGCCTTGAAAAGTGTTACTTTAGTATTGTGTATTATTATAGTATTTGTTTTTTACATTTTAATTTCATTTGATTTAATTTTAATTTTAGTATAAATATTTTTTGTGGTTTTGTCTTTTTTATTACTTATTTTTTTATATTTCCATTTAGCTTAAAAATATTATTTTTGTTTTAGTTTCAGTAATTTTAGTTGCCAAGGCAACATTTCTAATTTTTCATCTAATATTTATATTTTATTTTATGTCAGTTCAATTTAGAATATTTATAAACTATTATAGTATTTATTCATATTTTAATAAATTAGCTTTTGTTTTATATTTTCAGGTTTCATTTTAATTTTAGCTTAATTTGTAGTAATTTTATGTGCTTTTGTCATTTTTCTATTCAGCTTAAATTAATTTTTATTTCAACTTTAGTTTTAGCAATTTTAGTACTTCAGTACTTTTTTTTCCAGTTAGTTGCCAAGGCAACATTTCTAATTTTATAAGTTTGTTTTGAATCTAACATTTACATTTTTATTTTATCTTTATTTCAATTAGATCAAAAGGTTTTTAAAGTCTGCGTGAACTGGAAGTTGCTGCTGACTTCATTTCAGTATAGTGACATATTTCCAACTGAAATGGAATATTGAATAGAGGGAGGGGCTTTATTTTTGCGCTCCTCCTCTCATCTCTCACTCGCAGTAATCTAACGGTTGGAGGGGTGTGGTTAGGGATGTTCTGCCCAAGCCGTCAAACAAATGTATCAGAGAAGGGATGCCATTCCAGAGTGGAAGCAAATGATCAGATTACCATTACAAACATTTTTTCAGTGAATTAACTTGCACGGATAAATTGTTCACCTCAAGACTAGCAATGGGTGCTAACAAAAGAAATACTGTACATTTTGATTTCACTCGGACTTTAAAGCTGCAGTCCATAAAATTTTTTGTGTTCAAAATGTATATAATAAGCGAGTACACCATGAATCCTTTTTCCAAACCATGTTTTTGGCTTGTCCTGAATCACTACAGTACACCTATAATAAGTGTTCATATTCAGACTATTTTAGACTGGTTCGGGTAGGTACCGCTGTGGAGTATCCCAGTACCTGCGTGATTCGTCATAGACATAAACACAGAGAAGTAGCTCCGGCTACAATGTTCTTCCACAAGACGCACACAGTTCTGTTAGCGCCAAAAGTTACGGACTGCAGAAACATAAATTCAGTCACGTCTCCAAACTTTATACTGCCAGTGTGTCTCGCTTGAGGAGAAATGTGTGTAACTATTTACTTTAATCTCCACTCAGCTTTAACACCATCCCAATCGTGAAGTTCATGAGTCACCTGGTGTCGCACGTCTTCCTGTTGGCTCTGTTCATCCTGACGATCGTGTATCCGCCCGTGAGTCCTCTGTCCGAGGGCCGTCTGGTTCCCGGCTGGTCAGAGTGCCTGTTGCTGATCTGGCTCTGTGGGATGCTGGTATCTGAGCTGACGTTTCCAGGTGAGCGCGTCGGATTAGCGTGGATTCGTCTTCTTCTCCTGGGCTTCTCCGCCGCGGCTCTGCTGTGCCACCTGCTGGCGGTCTTCACCCAATGGTGGCCGCCGTCGCACCTGCACTGCCTGTTTGCCCGAAACGTCCTGCTGGCCGTGGCGATGATGCTGGCGTTCATCCAGCTGCTGGAGTTCCTCACGTTCCATCACTTATTCGGCCCGTGGGCCATAATCATCCGAGACCTGATGAAGGATCTGTGTCGGTTCGCTGTGATCCTCATGTTGTTCCACACCGCCTTCACGCTGAGTCTCACCGCTTTGTGTCAGCCGCTGTATCCTCAAGATTGGGACAACAGCAATGGTAATGTGACCATTCCGGATCCTTTAAACATGTCTGTGCTGCTCTTCTTCGCCCTGTTTGGTTTAACCGAACCAGATAAAATTCCCAACTTGGAGCGCTCGCCTCCCGCCACGGCCGTTTTGGCTAAAATGGTGTTTGGCGTGTATCTGGTGGTGACGTGCATCGTGTTGATCAACCTGCTCATCGCCATGATGAGCGACACGTACCAGCGCATCCAGGCTCAGTCCGACACGGAGTGGAAGTTTGGCCGCGCCGTTCTGATCCGCGATATGAGCCGCAAGTCTGGAGTTCCGTCTCCGTTCAACCTGTTCACCAACCTGTTCTACTCCATCAAGATTCTCTGCAAACGCGCAGGTAGGAGTTTATCTTTTTATATAGAGATCGTTTGCATGTTACTGTGGAAACTTGTGTCCAGCAAAGCAAAAAAAAAAATTTTTTTTTTTGCAATTGTGAGTTTATATCTTGTATTTTGCAAGTTATTAACTCATAACTGCGAGTTTACATCTCACAATTCTGAGAAATAAATGTCAGAATTGTAAGTTTACAATTTTGACTTTTTTCTTAGAATTTTAAGGTAACATTTCGACTTTTTTTCAGAATTCTGAGTTTACATCTTGCAGTTTTGAATTTTCTTTCAGAATTCTAAGTTTACATCCCACAATTCTGACTTTTTTCCTCAGAATTTTGAGTTTACATCTCAATTATAACATTTTTTTCTCAGAATTCGAAGTTTACGTCTTACAATTTTGACTTTTTTTCTTCGAATTTTAAGGTAACATCTCACAATTTCGACTTTTATTCACAATTCTGAATTTACATCTCACAATTCTAACGTTTTTTCTCAGAATTCTAAGTTTACATCCCACAATTCTGACTTTTCCTCAGAATTTTGAATTTACATCTCACAATTCTAACATTTTTTTTCTCAGAATTCTAAGTTTACGTATCACAATTTCAAATTTATTTCAGAATTCTGAGTTTACATCTTGCAGTTTTGTCTTTTCTCTCTGAATTTTAAGTTGACATCTCAAACAATTTTGATTTTTTCTTAGAATTCTACATTTACATTTCACATTTTCAACTTTCTTTCTCCAAGTTTTACATCTCACAATTTCTTGTTCCCGTTGTGTTCAGGGAAGATCTGCTCTGTGGAGTGTCGTAATGTGATGAATGAGGATGAAGACACTGAAGGTTTGACAGGCTCTCGTTCTCTAGAGCTGCTGGCTCAAGCATCTGTCAGCTGTGTCAGAGGAAACAAGAGGACGCAGATCCTTCCCGAGGGCAAGTACACAATTTCACTGCCTCCTCTTCTTTGGTAGAAGATTAATTTATTTGGTCAATTTTAAACTAATTTTAGATTTTCTGTAAACATTTTAGTTTTTCTATAAAATATAAAACAGAAAAAAAAAACGATATAGTTGCTGTATTTTTTATATTGTTGTAAGAAAAATATTGTTTCATTATTCTGTTTTATTTATTTATTGAAGTTTTATTGCCATTAAGATTTTGATTTCTACTTCGTTTACCATGAAAATAGCCTTTGCTGCATTAAAATAAATACATAATAAATAAATAATTATATTATATTATACTCTTATAATATATTGTATATTATAAGTTGTAAATAAAGGTTAGTGGAGTACATTTTACAAGAAAATACTATTTCAGTCTTCTACTTCAAAATGTTCAGTTCAAAACTTGTAATAAAAATACTATGATAATTATTCTATTATCATTTATTTATTGAAGTTTTATTGTTATTATGATTATTTTAATTTCTACCACTATGAGTTTGCTATTGATTTATTGAATTAATGACTGACTGAATGAATAACTTAACAAATGAATACATGCATACATATGTAGATGTATTGTATTATATTATATGATATTATTCATATTTTAATTCATCAATTCATGGTTAAATGTAATTTTTTATTGTTATTATGATTATTTTAATTTCTACCACTATGAGTTTGCTATTGATTTATTGAATTAATGACTGACTGAATTAATAACTTAACAAATGAATACATGCATACATATGTAGATGTATTGTATTATATTATATGATATTATTCATATTTGAATTCATCAATTCATGGTTAAATGTAATTAATATTTAGCAATATTATATTTATAATTTCATACTTAGTACAGTATAGTCCTGTGTACAGTAATTACATTTTATTTTATTTTTTATATTATTTTAAGGGGAAAAAGAGAAAGAAATAATAGGATTTGTCATGTCAATCTCAAGCGGTCGTGTGGTGTCACTGTGCAGGCGGTCAGATGACGATGTCCATGTCTGGAGGACAGGTGCGCGTGGAGAACGTTGTGGATTGGCCATCTGTGGTCCAGCAGTTTTTAGCCCAGCGCAGACAGAGGGACAGATCACCGCCGGAGAGAGACGAATGAATGACCGACGGTTTCACCATGACAGATGAATTTGCACTGCCTATGAACATCAGTCCACCCACCTGAGCCCACATCACTTCAACTTCCTGTTTAATTAACACCGTTAGCTTTAGCGTATCACAGCATGTTCCTTTATCTGATATTCACTCCTCACTAGTCACTTTAATCAAAGATGTCATTTACACTAGGAGTCAAAAGTTTGGGGTCAGTAAGATTTTTGTAGTGTTTTTGAAAGAAGTCTCTTCCGCTCACCAAGTCAGCATTTGTTTGATTAAAAAAAAAACAGTAAAATTTTAAAATATTATTACAATTTAAAATAACTGTTTTCTATGTAAATATACTGTAAAATGTAATTGATTGCAGTGATGCAAAGTTGAATTTTCAGCATCATTACTCCAGTCTTCAGTGTCACATGATCTTCAGAAATCATTCTTATATGCTGATTTGCTGCTCAAGAAACATTTCTGATTATTATCAATGTTGAAAACAGTTGTGCTGCCCAATATTTTTGTGGAAACTGTGATACACTATTTTCAGGATTCTTTGATGAATAGAAAGTTCAAAAGAACAGCATTTAAGCCTTTGGTGCTTCTTATTTGGGAGTCACACTTGTGGTCTACACGGTCAAAAGTGACCGGCCACCTAAAATGTAACTTTTTTTGCCCCCCAGTAAAATCAATGTAACATATCTTTGTTTAATCATATTTTTTTTTTCTTTCTTTTTTTTTTTTTTTTAGAGAATTTCATGGTACTAATTAATATTTATGCAATAATTGTGATACATTTTTCCCATTGAAAATAATACAACATTTTTTTTCTTCAAATATTTTCTATTACTTATCAATTATGGCAGTATTTCATGTTAAAATAGAGACACTGCCTATAAAATCAAATTTTTGAAGCCAGATTAGTGCCATCTGGTGGGAGTAAAATAAGAAGAACATATGCAATTCCATGGTTTAGCCCATAGATTCCCATATAGCTCTATATAAAAGGCCTATACATTCTCTAATTATTTTTAAGTTGTGGGTTTTGATATATACTTAGACTTTTTTTAAAGACAACTTTTTGTAAAGGTTTATATTTTTTATTTTTATTTTTTGGTTTGAAATGTTGATTTTAAAGCGTCCGTTTTTGAATTATTACTACAGTCAAACCTGAACACCAAAAGAATTTTGTTACACAAAGCATAAAAATTCTATTAAAATGTAACAAAAATGAACAGAAATGTTTTATCAGAGCTTAAGTTGTGGGTTTTGATATATACTTAGACTTTTTTTAAAGACAACTTTTTGTAAAGGTTTATATTTTTTATTTTTATTTTTTGGTTTGAAATGTTGATTTTAAAGCATCCGTTTTTGAATTATTACTACAGTCAAACCTGAACACCAAAAGAATTTTGTTACACAAAACATAAAAATTCTATTAAAATGTAACAAAAATGAACAGGAATGTTTTATCAGAGCTTAATCCTTCTGGGTCTGATCTGATTTCAACCTCTTATTTCAGTTTTCTGACTCGTTATGGCTATATGGTTATAGCCATTCCAATTCATTTGAATGTGTATAATTGTGTGTGTTTGTGTGTGTGTGAGTGGATGTGCCTGTTTTGCACGCTTGATGTTTTAGAGTGTAACCCCTTCCTTGCTGACCACTTTTTTACTGCATTGTAGTTGAATTGTTGCTTTTATTTTACATATTTGCTGTGTTACAGTCACATCAGTTCATAGGTGTGTGTGTACACGTGTGTGTGTGTGTGTGTGTGTGTGTGTGTGTGTGTGTGTGTGTGTGTGTGTGA